AGAAGCCAAGGTGAGACCAACAACTATTTCCACAAAAGTCCCCCAATCCCTAACTGATGGAGATAATAACATCACCTACCAATACCACATACAGGGGAGGCTGGATCTGAACTGACTATCAAGTGGCAAAAGGCTCTTAAATTCACTACCATTCATGTCAGTTATATACTAATGAGCTTCTTTCTCCAAAATATACTTACAGTTTGTTTTTTTTAAATCAAACTCTATCTGAAGAAAATACAAAACCTCCATAAGCCTCATTAGCCTCACTTCATTTTTTACTGTGGAATTTTGATACAAGTGTATGGTGGAATAATTATCTTATAGACGGCACCAGATATTTAGTTACTAAAATTAGTATGAAGTCCCTGGTGTTATTTTTAAAATACATGGTTATTTTTGTAGATCTATAATAGCCTCCCGAAAAAAATGATCCTCAAAAGCTTCTTTTGTGCTAGGATCATGTAACAGAAAGTAGAGCTCTAGGGTTTAATTCCTATCAATCAACAAAATGAGATTCACACTACTCCCGGCCAGAGGAGCTAATATACACAGCACCACAGGTCATCAGAGAAGAGCTTAAAATAAATCCAAGAGTGGGTGAGTACTGCTACATTTTGCCATCTCCTGTATTGCTCTTCTAATTTTATAAAGCCCTAATCACTGCAGTAATTATTAGAGGCACTTAAGTTGTGTTACTGATCCTAGCACCTTTCATCAAACTCAGGCAGCTCCGAGGAGCTCTCCAAACACACAGGCTGTCCCTTGGAAACATTTTGCTGCTGTTATGAGCCCTGGATGTCCCCCAGAACAAGGAAATATTTGAGCAGGTTTTTAAACAGAGGACAAATAAAAAGTAGATGTCTTTAAAAATACAGGCCTCCGAGGCATCTCGGGTTTCCCCCTCTGCAGTGAGCACAGCAGACTGCTTATCTTGGCTCCCCAACAGATTGGTGTGTTCAGCCGGAAGATTCACTATAGCTGACAGAGAACATTTCCTTCATCGTATTGCTTCACCATGCGAGGAGATAACTCAGGCTAATAATATTCTGTCTCCTTTTTATCCTCCTATAGCCTACGCATAACTTAATTCTTAATTCCAAAGAGCTCGCAGAGGAGATTGGCCTGGTGCTAGTTTCATTTACACACATATAAATCAAAACCCAGTCTACCGGAATAGATGGCACTGCACTGGTGTTGAAAAATAAAATCCTCAGCGAGGCCAGAAAATTCCCACTCAGCTCCCCAGCTCATAAACATCATGTTATCCTAGATTCAGTCACGCCCTCCAAATTTCTAAACATCACATCCCATTTAAATTTGCATGTAAATAGGAGCTATCCTGATTCACGAGAAATACAGCTTCGCCTATCCAGAAAGCATTAGTGCAAATGTAAAGCAAGCAGAAAATGGCAGAGTGGTAGAAACCTGGCATCCGTGGCAATTATCTTCACTTCTAATGAATAGCGTCTTCGTTTCTTAGTAACTAATTATAGTGGAAGTTTTTAGAGAAATGCACCTAGTGATATGCCCGAAAAAACCAGTGTACAGCACAGAACCAGGACCACATTTGTCCCCAGTGTCAGATACGCACTTTGCAACCTCCTCCTAGTACCCAAGACTGCAGGGTCAGGCTTTTGAATGTTCCAGGACCCCTAAGTCACCCCAGGTACTATGGACTACAAGGTTACCATTTTGGGATATGAATAAACTGCATTCCTAGACCTGAAATCCCAAGCCCCAAGCAGTACTCCTCAGGCACACAGGAAACCCCACGGACTGCAGGAACCTGCCTGACCGTGACTCGCAGCTGCATGAAAGCCCTCACTATTCTGCTCTAACTCAGACACACATTGCTGCTTTCAGAAAACCCACATTATTATTCTGGTTTGGAAGAAGGAATTGTGGAGAGCTGAATCAGAAACTCTGAAAACTGCTTGCAAGACCCTGGTTTCACTTACCCTAATCTATCATCATATTTCATCACCAATCTCATACCTGCTCAAAGCTCCCAGCAATGCGCCACCTCTGCCCCCGCCATTAAGATATAAAACAAGGGTTAAGTGACAGATAGTATCAATGTGGATAGCAATCTGTCTCACTCAGAAACCATTGCACCAGGAATAAAGAAAGAATTATTATACTGGTGTCAATATGATAAATTACAGCCTCTTTTTATTTCCTAAAGAATTTCTAGTTTTTCAACTAGCACAGAAAACTCTCTCCCTCTCAGCACTCTGAACATCAGAGCAATTTCTCCTGACATCCTGTTCAGAGTCTCCACTAATGAAACTGTTTATTTTGGTGAATGGCTGATGCAGTTATTCATTACACCACTCATCTTAGAATAAATATAAACTGGGAGCCAGTGATATGAATTCAAACTGTTCCTTCCATGTATTTGCTTCCAAAAAGTAAATAAGTTTGAAAGCTCTGATGGTTGGCCTTGCTGAAGTGAACAAAATGTTTAGGGAAAATGAGTTTTCAGTGTTTTCTCACACCACACAGATTACACAATCCCGCGTGCCAAACCCACGAAGTTTGTGGTCACGTTTCCCTCCTACAGCAGTGAGTTCACAGCTGCAGCACCAGCCAAAACAGGACTACAAGGAACCTAAAGAAATCACCTCCTGATTCGTCATGCCCTCTCCCTAACATTTATATCCTTGCCAGAGGTTTGCCTATAAAATTATGGAGGAATTTAAGAAGAAATTAGATGACTTATTCTAGTGCTAATGCAAATCCATTAGAAACCTTTTCTCCACATCCAGTCTGAGCTTCCCTTGCAGCAGCATCACAACATACTTTCAAAGACTCTTCTCACTCTGTTGTCCAGGCTGAGCAAGCTCTACCCTCTTAATCCTTCCTTCACAGACCACTTTTTCTAAGACCTCCAATCTCTCTTGCTGCTTTCTGCTCCACACCTCTCAACGTGTAAGATCCCAAGCCAGAGACAGTACTCTGGTTAATGTCTCCACAGAACCAATCTGCAAGGATCCTTGGGAAACTGGTGAAAGTCCTTCATGAGTAGCCAGCCCCTCACTGCTGGGCACATTTTCATGATGGGAAGTTGTACCACAGAGGAAGGAATGTACAGCTAGAGAGATGTCCTTCAAAGGCTTCAAACATCAGGGCCAAACAAGGCTTTACAGTGGGGACTTTTACAGGAGGGAGAATGCTTTTTTAGTGTTTCTAGAGAGACAAGCAGCTGGGTCTTGTATTTGCTCCTTCAACGTGCACCTCTGTCCCCCAGCTTCTGCATCATCAGAGAAAAATCATTGCTAAGCTGATTCAGAGTGAGGCAAGCGAAAGCAGCATCTCAGATTGAGCTAATCGATTTAGTTGTGTGAGAGTGGGGAACAGAAGGGATATCTCTAGCTATTACTGTCACCTCCACGAGGAAAGAGCAATTAATAGAAAAGGTTGACATGTTAGAAGGTAATTTTTTTGCTGTGCAATTGCTTGCAACCCCAAGCAATGTCATATCTTCGTTACTCGCGACCATACAAAAAATGATAAGATGTAAGGGAGCAGTTTCATTACTGCAGCAGCTGGAGGGGGATTGCCAAGCCCTGGGACACGCACTCCCAGGGAGTGACCTCCTGCTCTCCCAGCCCTGCAGCATGTCTGTAATCTCTCTCACAATATGGTTGAAAATAGAGCTGGCTAGAGGAAAAAAGGAGAGGAGGTGAGGAGAAAAACAAACCAATTCAGCTTATTAGTGAAACGTTGATGAGCAAAAGTCCAACACAGCAAAAAAATGCATTGCCAGAGGACTTGTGAAGTCCAGGAAACGAGCCCTGGCAGATCTGGCACACGTGGCTGCATTTGCCCCTCACTCTCTGCAGCTGAGTGATGAGCCTCCAAACAGCCCTCATCTCTTTTCCATGCCAAACACCGGACCTTTGTTCTCTGCACATCACTTGTTTAAGGAACTGAATGTGTTTCTGAGACCCTTATCTCTTGATTTCATGATGCAGCCAACCCCTCTGCCCTCCAGGTGTCAACTTCACACTCTTTGCAAAAATATAAGTACGGTTTAACAGGTCATACCCTGGGTTTTAAAAATAAGGAGCTCCTGGGTGGCAGAGGGTGTGTTATTGCAACCCTGAACATCCCTTCTCAGCCCTTCACTTGCCCTGGGATAACCTAACCTTCACCTTGATAACCGGTGCAGTGGTTACTGGGAAAGGATATTTGGCAAGCTTGAAAAGAGGGAAAGGAAGCTGGATGAGGGCGTACATAGCCTCATACTCTGAGGCATTAAACATTGGCTCAGAAATACCTACCTGGGCACTGAGCCCTATAAACTGTCTCCCAAAGCTTACAAAGATAAACATGCACTGGCAATGGACCTTTCCTCCAGCATCCCTGGGAAAGGGGTGGGGACCTGAATGTTGAAGGAGGGACATGGGGACTAATGTGGGGAAAGGTGCTGGCTTACATGCAGAACCACTTGAAATGCCTTTCTTTGAGACCTTCCCCCTTAGTCCACCCATGTTCCTTCCTCAGCCTGGAGAAAGCTCTGGGAAGTGCTGGAGCAGGGAGATCTGGCTCCTCACACAGGGCAGGCTCTCCTCCCCAGCAACTCCAGTCCTCTATGCCAGCTCTCCTGAACCTCCCACAAGGTATTAAAAAGCAACAGCAAGCTCTCTCCAGCTTGCTATATTTAACTGCAGACCTCTATGCACTCTCCTCCCTTTCCACTCCTCTAGAAGAGCCACGCAGCAACATGGGGAGTGAGAGCTTCTCCTCGTTGCTGCCGCAATCCTGAAGCCTGGGTTTGCTCATGCTGCCTCCACTCCGGGGCTCCTGTGTTGCCGCGTGTGCGATAAAACCCCTCAGAGCGTACACAGGAGGAGGAAGGGAACACTTTTGTTTCTCCGTCCCAAGAACTGAAGGTACTAAATGTTAATACTTGGAAATCAGCAACTGCCAAGAACAAGTTCCCCACCCATCCATCCACCCTAAGCTTTGAAGTGTTTTCTTTCGAGCTTTACCTTGGCACGCTGGCCAAATAAGTCACAAGTTTCCGAAGGTCTTCCTGCCTTATTCTGTCGTGATTGCTGCGGGCTGGGAAGGTCAAGACAGGACCACCTCGTTTATCACGGCCACCTGCGGAAAATAAAGGATTGTTAGAAAATCAGGCAGGAAGCACATGTCAAAAAAACTATGTGCACTGAATTGATAAACATAAATTACAGCACATTCAAGAGCCCATGCACTCCCTTTGTAGCTTTCAGGCTTGCCTAATTGAGGAAGACGTGCTTCCATTTGCTGGAACTCCAAAGGGGAAACGAAGAAATAAATAAAAAAAAAAACCCCACAACACAAGGAAAATTGCTACTAGCATTTCTTTTGACTTTCACCTAATCTCATCAAATCTAATATAATGGTCAATTCAAGCAAGCAACACTAATGAAATCCTACAGTGGGGATAGTTTTAAACTGCTCACCACCAAGAAAGTGAAAGTATTTTTCACTGTTACTCAGTGTGTTGCATCATTCGTTGCCAGATAGTTTATGACATCCCGCCAGTTAGAAGCGATGTATCCCAGTAATGTTTATGTATAAAGACATTCTAATCTAACTGGCAATTCATTAGAATTTGAAATTTTGATTACAAGTTCATGCCTCCTATGCTTTCTATTTAGAGAGTGTTGTTGGCAACTGGAATGACTCTTGGTTTTTTTTTTTCTGTAGTTTTCCTGTCTTAAAATCCACTCCTTTTAAACTGCCAGTGTCTGGCACTTCATCTATTACAGCAATTGTCAAAAGGCTTAGCCATAAAGGAGTGACTCTACCCTGAATTAAACAAGCACAAATACAGGGGTGAATACAATCTCTTCTACAGCACCATATTTTATTCTCTGCTGTGAATAAAGTTTAATAAGCTTGGAACTGAAATCTAATTCCTCACTCAATGTTTAGTTCTTTCTTCACATATTATCACAGGATTTTTTCAGGAACTGTGTTTTGTTAGATACATGTTTGCATTGTTATCTAGGAAAAAAAAAGTCATAGCAAAACCACAAGTCAAAAAGCTAGCACAGAACTGCAAGGACCTTGTAAATAAACTGTAAAAATGCAGATTAGTTCATGCTTTTCAATAGGAAGTATAATCCCTTTAAGAGAAATACCACTTCTGAGAAAAGAAAATCACATGCTTCTCTGAACTAATTTACCTGGCCAACAAGGAGAAAGCTACACAATGACACACACATCTCCAGCACCGATCCATGCCGCGTTCTCTAGTGCAGAGCCCAGTATGCCCATACTCCATGGGGTTATGCCTTCTCTAGGGCTCCTAAACACCCTAAGAGTCCTAAGAGGGTCTGCTGTAAGAGTAGGATCAGCATGAGAGCACACGTGCGCTTGGGAAACCAGTATGCTGGACCACTACAGGACAAATAATTGCTCTGATCAGAATTTAGATCAGGAACCAAGATGGTGCCTCATATGGCAGGATTTCCTGCAGATGGGAAAACCAGAAACCAAACTGATGAGACACATGCACGTACCCCCAAAGCTCAGGTTTTCCAGCTGGCCCTGCCTCCAGATCAGAGAAGGCACTTGTAGATCCAGCTCCCATCTGACAACACACCCCCTGTCCATTTTATTCTGAAACTGTCCATTCAGTTGATGCCACAATAGGTACAAGCTCACTTTCTAGCACAAAGTGTCTCTCTATGTGACCAAAGTCACACAGAAGCAGCTAAAAATAGCAATATCATTACTGTATATATCTTTTTTTAAATATTTTTTTTTTAAATTGCTCAGTCCCGTCTAAAGAGTCTGTACAAGTCAAAGTCTCTTACAGAAACTTGTTCTATACATATAAAGGTTTCAGTGTTACCCTGTGTTACAGTTCACCAGCCATGAAATTCCCATAGTTTTCAATGGATGCTATATACCTGAAGGGCTGCATCGTGCAACTCTCCAGTGGAGCCAGGCCAGGTCTGATTTCCCCAGGGGCAAAAATGGAGAGGCAAGCAAGAGATGCCAACTTCATTTTGAGTCCTTGTGCAGCCAGAGGTACACATGGAGTACAAAAATGGACCTGCCTAATCTCCACCCGAATCTCTGTGCTTGATGGCTGCCTTTGGCTTCACAACCTGAACGTGAGGAAGATCCATGGGAATTTGGTCTCACCTTGGCTGATCCACACCTCTACCACATGGCATGAGAATGGGGGTGTAATGTAACGAGGATTCAATTTACAAGGAAGCTCATTTTTATTTTCAGATATATATACATATATAGGTATAAAAAAAACATTCCTCATTTTAAGTACATTCTCCCTTTCTTGAGACTCTTTAACACACAGTAACAATGCCAAAACTATTATATCATGCATGATGGGTCCAACAGAAAAGAAAGCCAGCCTATAGAATGGCAAACCGATGTAGTAACTAAAGCTGGAGGGAAATATTTTTTCAACACAGGAAGCTTTTCAAGGTTTTGAAAAATTTCCTGTCATATCAAGATGTAACCAAGGCTTTCAAAAGCTTCCAGATATTCACTAAAGCAGAGACCTGAACTTGAATTGCATCCCAGAAGAACATGCTACCCACTATTCAGTAAGGCTCTGTCTCCTCCTCCATTCCCAATTATTTAAATATTTCTACCGAGCGGAAAAGCCCTACAAGGAGACATCCAAGCCCACAGTTATGATCCTCTCCCAGGATATGAAACACCCGAGACGGGCCATGAGCCCAGCAGCCCTGATTGCTCTGATACTACCCATTCACCTCAGCTTACAAACTAAAAATTGTGTTTCTGGCCAGGGACCCCTTTCCCACTTACAGGTCCATCAAAGTGAGCTCTGGGGGGGAAAAAAAAAAAAAAAAAAAAAAAAGAGAGAGAGAAAGTTATCTAAATTCTTGTAGATTGAAAAGTTAAATCGGAAAATTTGTGACCCTTTTACTAACAGTAAAACAAGGATTTCAGCTACAGAAAAGGAAACAAAGTCCAGAACATTCCTGTCCTGTCTCTGCTTCAGGATAAAAACTGTCCCTCAACAGTTCATCTAAACTGTCCTCAGGGGAGCAGGACAAATGAGGCTCTAGTGCAGTCACAAGTTTTCCAGGACAGACCAGAGAAAATGGGTTAATTCTCATTGGAGGACAGTTATATGATGACCCAGTTGGAGGTTTCTGGACGATAGAAGAATAAATAAGTGCCTGGACCTATTCCTTCTATTCCTATGGCACAGAAGAACAAGGAGACATGGGGCAAATCTCAAGAAATGTGAGGTTTAGAAACAAACGTTTCTCGTCTGTGATAAAAGTACTGTTCTATGCTTTGAGCAATAGGATGAAATTATTACAACTGCATTGCACATATTAAAATCCTTCATTTGTTTCCAAATTATTCATGAGCAATTCCTAATTTTTATCAATGTCTGCATAATTTAAAATCTTATAAAGGGCCTATATGAAGAAAAGTCAGGTTTCTTCCACAGCAAACCATGATATGTTTAATTCACCATAAGACTTGCAGAGTTCAGTAACTGTGGTTTACTCTCTTAAATACTAATAACATGTAACTTTTCTATTGCACTTTATAACCACAAATCTCAGCTTTTCTTGACAGACTAAATGGGAAATTTCCACCACTGAACTTTAGATAACATGCCTAGATTAGGACCCTCATCTCCTCTAACGGACCCTCCAGACAGGTAGCAACAACAACTAAAAGAGAAGAAAATCTTTTGGCATTGGCTGTACACAGAGTCTATGCCTTTCCTCTTCTTTATTATTATCCCATTTTTTAATGAGGGGAATAGTGAGGTACAGAGAGGGGAGGAAATTCAGCTCAGATCCCACAGCAAGTCACTTGAAGAACCAGGAGCAGAAATGACATTTTCTGACTCTTAGTCAGAGTCTAGTGGCAGAGCTTCGTGGTGCTTAGGCTAAAAGTCAGCAACCAAGAACACAGAAACTCTGTCTCTGCTGGTTATTAATCCACCCAAGGAGGCTAATCTTACCCCGTGTCAGCCATGATCTCAACACCAATTTTACATGCACAGTCTTCAGAGAACTACCCAGCATATTGTTTTAAAAGAAAATAAAAAATGGAAGGAAGTAAAGAGTCTCAATTGCTCTAATCAATATGTCCCATCTCCTGCCTCCCACTGGGCTCGGAGACATGGGATGCAATAATCAAACATGTCATTAGGTTTGCAAATTACAGTTATTAAATGCTAAAACAAACAGCTGATAATTTCTAATTGTTTTTCAAGGTGGGTTTTCACGGGCTTTGCTCTGATTTAGAGAGGCAAACAGATGGTCTAGTTATTAGTGCTCTGGAAAAAGGAGTCAGAAAAACACATGTTCTTCGGGGCACAAAGTACACTGAGAACAAATATTTAGCCATATATGTCTTGCATTCCTCCTACAAAATCCTTTGTTGATGGCCTTGCATGTCAGTGGTTTGTTTGCCGGTTCTTCCCATCTCTCTTTCTTCTAGGCTATACTGAAACCATTGCTAAATTCAGCATTTGTTCCCAGAAGTAGGATTACATCATTTTCCCTCCACAAATCATACAGGGGGTATTGCAGTGATGGCACAAGGCAGCGTGATGCATACCACATTAAAAGAAAACATTAAAAAAACCTCAAAAAAACCTGCACAGAAGCAGACAGCAGTGTCAGTGACCTTTTGATGACCACTATTCCGGTCAAGCCTGCAACCAAGAGAAAGGGGACTCCAGCCACAAGATCTCTGTCCTGGCAGCTGCCTGAACTGACATCTTAAACCTCTCAGTGGTGGGCCCAAATGCTTCTGCCTACACTGGCTCCAGCCGCCCACAGGTAAGCCAAGATGTTGGCCAACCCAGAGTGTTATTAATGTGAACTCTGTGCATGAGCCTTCCCAGTTTCAATTCCTGAGGCACATCCATCCCTGACAATACACAAAAAGCTGAAATTCTAGCTTTTCTTAGTCCTATTTAGGACAGGAAATCACTAGTTTCCTTTAACAAAGACTTCTTGTATACAAGAGATAAGTATTTTCTCAAGCTCTGTTTACAAACTGCATCTCTCCAGTTCTATCAGCCACTCCACCACGACACTTACCTGCTTACATTTGTATTGGAGGGACTCAAGTCCTCT